ATACTGGCAGTTAATTTTGGAACGCAGCCCAAGTTGGCGATTCTCTGTACTAGAGGTTCTCTATAGAAAGCTATCCTCCTATTGGATATCGGACGTCGTACATCGGACATCGGACGCGGTGTGAATCCTGCATTAGGGCCGTGGCCACAGAAAAATTAAGCAGTAAGACGTAACCAGTAAGCAAATTAACCAATCACAGTCGTTGATTTTTAGACCATAAGAAGAATCAATGACTGTGATTGGTCAATTTACTTACTGCTTACGTTTTACTGCTTAAGTTTTTTTGTGAACCACTAGCCTTAGGCCGGTATTCATAGTCCGATCTAGCCGTCTCTGACGGAAGCGTCCTTTAACTATAGCCTGATTTACATCGTGCACTTGATACATACTAAATAATAACTTTCTATTAGATAATTTTAATATTGACAATGCATATCAACGGGGTTTAATCAATACAATACATTTTCTTGATGAGTATTATACCAGCTTAATATACCGTTGTTTATATATATCGTCGATATTAAGATTATTTAATAGAAAGTTATTATTTAGTACGCGTATCAAGTGCACGATGGGGTGGGACCCGATTGACCACGATACGATTGGACACAGATTGTAATGATTGGTTCGACCTAATAATTCACTAGATAATTCTTTTCATCGGTTGGTTGTGTCCAATCGTACTGTAGTCAATCGGGACGCTCCCTGCACGATGTAAACCAAGTCTATAGGTTTGTTCGCATCGCGTGCTCTACTTGCTCCAACGCACTCTGATTGGCTCATGTCACAACACGGACCAATCAGAGTACGTTGGAGCGAGTAGGAGCACGTTGGGGCATGCGAAGCGAACAAACCTTATACAGGGTGTTCGGAAAGTACCGGGACGCCCGAATATCAGGAAAAATATAAGTTTTACAAAAAAATGTTTCAGACAAAAGTTGTGGCGTTTAAAAAGATGTATTTACTGATCACATCAGTTTGACCTTGGGTTGCGTAGCGAAGGTCAGGTCAAGGTCACATTAATTTTTTTAAATGGAA